TTTCCAAGTGACATAACTGCATCCCAGAATAAAGCTCAAGAAAATTTACAGGAACCTATAATATCCAGCAACCAACAAAGAGAAATTCACAATGTCTGGCGTCCAAAAACAAAAACAAAAACAACAACAACAAAAAAACTGTCAAGCATGCAAAGGAGACAGAAAATAACAATTCATAATGGGGAGAAAAACCAACCAACAGTGGCAGACATGGAAATGACACAGATTAGTAGACTAAGGGCCTTAGAACAGTTAGTAACTACTTTCCACATGTTCAAGAAACTAATGAAAGCACGAGCATGGGAAGGAGAGCCATCGTAAATGAAAACAAGACTAAGCGTGGTCTTTCAGTCCATCTCCTCACTGTCCGATAGTTACTGAAGTAATTAGTTACTAATTCCCTTTTAAGAAAGACTAGGGGTATCTTCATTCTTGAAAATATTGTGTGGGTAGGTGCTGCCTTGGTTCCAAAAGAATCACTTTGTGGCTTGACTTCCTTGGCAAACGTTTTCACCTCTGCAAATTTTAGATGCCAATGGGCCTGAGGTAAGAATCTGCAACCTCAGAACTGCTTACGCAAAGCAAGTAAGTGGCTGGAGGTTTTGGAAGATCTCGTTAAAGGCCAACTACTTTTTTTACTTTTCTTTTTCCCTGTCATTTATCCTTTCATATTTTGATACTGTTGTTGCAAAAGGTAGGAATTTTAAAAATTAATAAGTCACATGAGCTCAAAGTGTTGCACAGACTGGATCCACATAAGATTTTCAGGATTGTTACAGCCCGCATTTTTTTTTTTACATTATTTTATTGTGGTTAAAAAAAAAAAAAATATATATATATATATATATACATATGCATAATGTATATATATATATATATATATATATACACACACAACATAAAGTTTGACATTTTAGCCATTTTTAAGTGTATAATTTGGGCATTAATTACATTCACATTGATGTGAATGTATCCAAAAACTATTTCATCACCCTAAACAAAAACTTTGTAACCGTTCACCCATAGCTCCCAATCCCTCACTTTCCCCAACTCCAGTGACTGGTCCCTCCCTGTTAATGTCCTTTCTGCTTTCTGTCTCTAGGAATCTGCATATTCTAGGTTCCTTAAATAAGTGGAATCATACAATACTAGCTTCTTTCACTTAATATAATGCTTTCAAGGTTCTGGATCATGCATGAGAACTTAACTCCTTTTTTATGACTAAATAATATTCCATTGTCCATATATGGACACATATATGGCCACTTTTCATTTATCCATCCATCTACTGACAGACAGGTGGGTTGTTTCTACTTTTGGTTATTGTGAATAATGTTGCAATAAAAATAGGCACATAAATATCTCTCTGAGCAACTATTTTCAATTTGATTGGATATATACCTAATAGTGGAACTGGTGGGACATATGGTAATTTTATATTTCATTATTTAAGAAATTGCCAAGCTGTTTTCCACGGTGGCTGTACCATTTTCCATTCACACCATCACATGTAAGGGTTCTAATTTCTCTATATCCCTGCCAACACTTATTCCCCCCCCAACCTTTTTTATTATAATTATCCTGGCAGATGTAAACGGATATCTCATTATGGCTTTGACTTGTATTTCCCTGATGACTGTGATGACAACAATGTTTCATGTGTTTGCTGGCCATTTGTATATCTTTTCTGCAAATGTCTCTTCAAGTCCTTTTCCCATTTTACTTATTTGTTTCTTTGTTTTTGAGAGAGACAGAATGTGAGTGGGGGAGGGGCAGAAAGAGAGGGAGACACAGAATCCAAAGCAGGTCCCAGGCTCCGAGCTGTCAGCCCAGAGCCCAACGCGGGTCTCGAACTCACAAGCTGTGAGATCATGACTCAAGCTGAAGTCGGTCACTCAACCGACTGAGCCACCCAGGCGCCCCCCCTTTCCCATTTTTAAATATTAAACACTTACCAGTTATATGATTTGCAAATATTTTCTCCCATTCTATAGGGATTTTTTTCACTTTCTTGATAATGCCCTTTGAGATGCACAAATGGTTTTGGTTTGGATGAAGTCCAATTTTCCTATTTTCTCTTTTGTTGCTCATGGTTTTGGGGCTATATCTAAGAACCCACTGCCAAATTCAAAATCATGAGATTGACCCACATTTGCTTCTAAGAGTTTCATGATTTCAGTTCTTATACATAGGCTACTGACTCATCTTGAGTTAATGTGTGTACATGCTGTGATGCAGGGGTCCAAATTTATAATTTTATGCCTTTGCACCAGGAAATCTAGTTGTCCTGGCATCATCTGTTCAAGAGAAAATATCCTCCCACCTGAATGGTCTGAACACTCATATCAAAAATCAGTTGGATACAGATGTATAGGCTTGTTTTTGGAGTCTCAATTCTATTATTCCATTGGTTTATATGTCTATTCTGATGGCAGTATCATACTGTTTTGATTACTGCAGCTTCGCTGATAGTTTTAAAATTGGTTAAGTGTGAGTCTCCCAGCTTTGTTCTTCTTTTCCAAGATTGTGTTGACTACTAAGGTTTCATGCCATTCCACATTAAATGTGAGTATCTGCTTTCTCCTGTTTGCAAAAAAAGGATGCTGGAATTTTCAGAGGAATTGCCCAGAATCTGTACGTTGCTCCGGGTAGGATTGACATCTCAATGATATTGTCTTCCTAACCATAAATGCAGGATATCTCTTGCATATTTCTTTTTATCTAATGAAAAGTGAATTCAAGGCAACCAGTCAAAAGATCTCAATGACTGCACAATACTGTACTCCTGTCCCCTGACTTAACATGGTTTTCATTTCTCTACTCTGTGACGAAATTATGATTAACTGGAATAATCCTGGCAAAATTTCCAGGGTTAGTAAGATCTCATATTAAAATCAAAACAGGGGGCACCTTCACTGAGCATGGAGTCTGCTTCAGATATTCTCTCTCTGTCTCTGTGTCTCCCCACCTCCTTCCGCCCCTCCCTCCCCCTCTGCCCCTCTCCCCTACTTGCGTGCTCTCTCTCAAATTAAAAAAAAAAAAAAAAAAAAAAGATTCTCTCTCTCTCTCTGCCCCCTGCCCTGCTTGCACATGAATGTGCTCTTTAAAATAAAATTTAAAAATTAAATCTCAGAGGAGCTATGTAAGTATTCAGTATTGTTAACAACTTAGTATTTCTTACTGTATTGAATACTTACTGTATTCAACTATTTCTTACTATTTCTTACTATTACGGTTTTATTATTATAATTTATAGTTCCATCACAAAGTTAATGAAATATAAAAACACACAAAGAAATATTCTTATACACAGACATACTCACACAGCAAAAGACTGAGTTAGTATTAGTTGTATAATGGATATTAAACCTTATTAGAAGAATGGGATGCAATTAATTACAATTAAGACATTAAGAGTACCAAAGAAATAATTATACTTTGTTTATTCCACTTAATTCTTTCCAGAAGTCAATGTTCTCTATATCAACTCTCACTGTAAATCTCTCAAATTTTCCTGAGAGGTGGAGGAAGATGGCTGTGTCCTGAGAGGGTCTACCTTGGATGATGGAGAAATGGATGGGAGACGATTACAGGAATGACGCAAAGTTGTGCAGTGCTCTCTAACCTTTTATGCTGAGGAACACCCCTTAAAGTTTTGAGCACACTCCTAAAATACATGTGTTTATAAATTATATACATGAACTACTCCCACCTCATTAAATTAAGTATTAGGAAAGTTTAATTTCCTTTGTTTTTAGACACAAAATAAATAAGTTCTAATATGTTTTTTTCTTGCAACACACTGGATCATCTTGTACACCATGATGAAGACAACTGCTTTAGAGTATTAAAAAACAGAGGGGCGTCTGGGTGGCTCAGTCGGTTAAGTGACCGACTTTGGCTCAGGTCATGGTCTTGCAGCTTGGGGGTTTGATCACGCACTGGGCTCTGGGGTCTGTGCTGACAGCATGAAGCCTGGAGACTGCTTTGGATTCTGTGTCTCCCTCTCTCTCTGCCCCTCCCTCGCTCACTCATGCTCTCTCTCTCTCTCTCTCTCTCTCTCTCTCTCAAGTATCAAAAATATTAAAAAAAAACTGTTTAAAAATCAATTAAAAAAAGGAAGACAAAGGCCAAAAGGTTTCTGCTCCTTATTATATGTCCTAATTCTGCTTATTCTTCTTAAAACTCAGAGACTCTGAATTTCTGTCTCTTTCTTGAGAGTACTATCTCACTTAATCTGTGAATGTTCCTTTGTTGTCACTACTAATAAAAACTTCTCCCTGAATGGTCATTTTATAAGAAAGCTTCCAAGTGTTGCTTTCAGGGGGTAAAGATGGGTCAAGAATCTTGTCATGTGACATGTTAGGATAGAAGAAAAGAGAGCCCAGAGGATCAGGTGCTCTCGGGAGGTGGCAAAAGGGGATCTGCCCTGTTGGCAGGCAGGAGGCTGCAGAGTGGGAAGAGGCAGGTCTAGGGGGGTGACAGAGCCCTCAGGAGGTACGGTGTGTTATCACAAGGATTCTTCCTTTGCAAATCAGTCAGGAAATAAAACTCCTTCTCTTGCCAAGTAGGTGGGTGGTTACCCATCCTCTCTAACAGGAATCAAATGACAGACAGGGACGTTTACCAACGTCACGGGCAAAGATATTACAAAAAGCCCAAAGTTAAATGATGTCATCTTCCAGTGGTAGCACTGCTGGACTACTTTTTTCATTTGCAACATTGACACTGAAAATATTACCACTTCCCCTTGTAATCTCTTATTCCTAAGGCCACAAGTACTCCCGCCCACCTAACAAGTAGTAAAGCACATTTTAGGTCAAACTAGAAAACAGAAGGAAAGTATCTCGCCAGGCTCCAACACGATGCCAGACAGGGTGGACTGTACTGTGTGCATAGACAAAGTGACAGGAAGGGATGGTGGTGCTGGGAAACTGAGACTTGACACAGGGGATGTGTGGTCTGGTGGTTTTGTTTGATTTTTCTTCTTCCCCACTTACATCACTGAGCCTTTCCCGGGAGCTGCTCCTGTGGAAGCCCTTGGATTCTCCGCTGGCGCTTTCACTGTCACTGTCCCTGCAGCTGTTCTGGCCTGGCTTCAGCTAAAGGCAAAAGAAAAGAGGAGAAAGAACAAAGTCAGTGGTCTCCTCACACAACTGTTCTTCAGGTCTTGTCAAAGTGAACAACTTAAGGTCCTGCATTTGAACATTCTTCTCAGCTTCTGAGTAGTGCCAGGCAAGCGGACGCAGGAAGAAACACAGAGGGCAGGCTAAGCAAAACATATACCATAAAATGTCAATGTAAATCTGAGTGAATAAGCCTAAACACACACACACACACACACACACACACACACACACACACACACACACACCCTGAAAAAAAAATCTAACAAAGGTCCATGAATCCTGGAAATTAATCTTCCCTCTGATTTTTCCTCTATTCCACTGGGGCATTTTTGTCAATAATATAAAGACCAAACACAATGAATTAAAGCCAGATTACACCAACTCTGGGGGCCCGCCTTATTTCCCCTGTCCTCCTCTGAAGAAAGAATACAACAAAACAGAACAAAAGACAATGTCTTCTTCTAGGAGAAAATGATGAGATGCTCTATGTTATTGTTCAACCACCAAGAAGACAATGATCCTGATTTCTGAGACAACACTGTGGAGGTCCCCTGTCAGATATTTAAGAGTGCCAAATTAAGACCTACAGCTTAAGGATATTAGCCAGCACTCATTCAACAAATATGTATTGAGTGTGGCATCTAGGCCTGGTAGTAAGAGCTGAAAATATGATGCTAAACCAAAAAAAAAAAAAAGGGTAAAAAGTCTCTAATCTTATGAAGCTTACATATTGGCAGTTTCTACACGTTTACCCAGCTCTGATATTCCACTGAAATGAATAAACACACAGAACTGCAAACGATTAGTCTATATGGGACTATGAGTCCCCCACATATGGACCATTAGTCTATGATGCTATCATCAGCAACCACCTTTGGAGAGACCCCAAGCAATCTGATGCAGGTTATAACATACAGCCCTTTCACAATGTTCTTAATCTCGCAAGGGAAAGACGGCGAGGCAAGCAAATATAATAACACAAGGAAACACATGCTAAATGTAACACCAAAAAGAAGGAAGAAAGGTAACCTCTGAAGCCTTGGATTTTCAAAGTGGATTGAGCTCATACAGCTGAGAGGAGAGGGGAAGATACTCTTGACAGGAGAAAGACAGAAAGCAAAGGCAGGGAAAGCAACATGCTAGGAAATGATCAGAAGGAGTCTTATCTGAAACAGAGATTTCCTTCTGGGAGGAAATTGGAAGAAACATTACAGAGGGGTGCACGGATCAGACATGGAAAGTCTCAAACAAAACATAAGCCCCACACTTCTGGGAAGGAGGGAATTTCAGAGAGAAGAACAGGTAATAGGTAGCACAATTTTTGCCTGCAGGTTTTCGTGTGGCTCCGGGGCCAAGGGGGAATGTGAAGCAAGACAAATGGAGAATGAATCTAAATCCACATTCCTGGTCTAATGTGCTTCTTTAAAAACTGCAGTTCAGGTCCCACTCTGGGTCACACCGGCTAATAAGCTGTCCCCAAATCCCCACTATACAGAGCATTCGTTTTTTGCTTTCAGCCTTTCTACAAATGCACTTTTATCACTTTCTTCTAAAACTCCCTTTCTCCAGAAGTCTTGTCTAATGGAACCCAGAAAAATGATACTCATTTTACTTTGTATCCTCCTGGGCCCTTAAGTACTTGGTTTCCTTCTAAATTACTGCTAAACCTGCTAATTCTAAGTTAATTCAGATGCAAGCTATATGAGCCTTTTCTTATTACTATGGAATGAAGTTCAGAATATTGTCATTCTCTTCAAATTTTCATTTTTACACTTATAATAAAGGGGAATTTAATCTAAAATGAACATCACTTTCTCTCAATTTCCTGAACATGTCATGTCCATTTCCATCCTGCACCTATGTATTCACACTAGATTTCCTCAACCAGTAAAGCTCACCCTACCCTTCTCTGTGCATTTCAGGTCAAGATTGTTTTTAATGCTCAGATATGACCCGCTATGGTTTTTGAAGAGCTCCTTCTTTCTAGATATATTTTTTGATGTATGCCTTCAAAGTTTAGCTAGTATATCATTCTTCATTAAACGCCTCTGATAATTATATACTTTCAAGTATGAAAAGGCTTACTGTTATTACATGCATCTGACTGGTGATAAAATCTGTATGTGGAACAGGTACTCTAACTTATAGGCAATGTCATAATTTTCATCTCCCTGGACCTCTGACTTAAGTAAAGGCAGGTAATGCTACTTCCAATGAGTGAATGAAGAAACAAATAGAGCAAATAATATGCTCAGAATTAAGCAAGATATCTAGGACTCAGTCCATGTCTGTACAGCTTACCGCTCTCTTCATTTTACTTCTTAGAACCTATTTAGTATGTTAGCATTTCGTGTGGAAATAATGAAGTCTGAAGGATATGAATATTCTCTACAGAGTATGTTTTTAATATATTTGTGGTACCTGACTTAATTCACACACAAAAAAAGAAGTCTCACAAAGTGATATTGGTCAAGAGGTGTTTATAAAAACTCAGCCCCTCAACCTAGACGAGATAAACATCCCGTAGGGAATTAACAGCATAAGAGCATGAAGACTTCTCCTGATATCCACCTGGCTTACCAAAATCTGGACATGGCATTTGGATCTCTTCCATATTTCTTCACAGAAGGAAAATGATGACTTTAACAGGCCCAACAAGAGACTTCAGTGGCTCTGATGTAAATTATCTGACTAAATGTTGATCTAGGCTAAGGGCAAAACCCAAGAAGGACTGAGATGAACCAGTTTCCTTGCCTTCCCTGTGCCCTTCCAGCAAAAGCACATCAGTGAATTCTCTTTGGAGAGCCTTACATAAAATCCGCCCCCACACTGCCCTTTTCTCCTCCAAAGCCAGGCTCAAGTTTAAAGGAAACTTAGGATTTTAAGCTGTCAGACAGCTCAATATTTCAAAGAAATGGACTGACTACAGTAAGTACTAAAGCTAAACCACAAGATTTCAGGCAAAGAAGTATTCACTCCTAATCCCATGAATACATTTAAAACTGGCATTTTCAGCCATATCCAATGGATCATTTGGGGTAGCACAGCTAACTTAGAAGTTGTAATCCTTCACCTGAAATTCCCAGCTATTACCTACAACCAAGAGACATTACAAAGGCCAGGTGCTGGCTTAAACATTTAAAGACCTAAGAAAAATCGATCCGCTTGCATTGATTTGTCCTAGCACCCATGGCGGCTGTTGTAAGAAAGCTATTGCTATAACAGATGCAATGAGATTTCTTACTACCATTTTTTAGATACGCTAAAATACCTTGTTTATTTAAAAATTAATGTGATTCACTCATTTCCAGAATTGTCTTCTCATTAGAATATTATACAATTTTGGCATCAGAATTAGAACAAAACAGATGAAATAAAAAGGAAGCTAGTATCTGGCATGAGTGGTAATGATCCTATCAATAAGATTAACAACTTTTATAATATATAAGATGAGTTGTTTTCCATTTGACTTCATTGTCAACAATACAATCAAAAACTCTGAAGCTGTTATGTCGTTAGAGTTAACTGTTATTAATGGCTAATTAGGAAAATAACGATCCATGGTTTTATCGCTGCTAATGAACATGTAACGAAATCCCATCACGCTGGACTCAGTGAAGGTGGAGGAATTCTGTATACACCTGCCAAGATTTGTGACCCAGGCTCTGCCACTCTTCAGCTTGAGTATGGAGAGTTCAAGATGCTAGATGCTCTGTGGGTGTCATTAACTCTTCAAACAAAATTCGCAGAAGGATAAAGTATGTGGAGATGATACCAATGCCTGAAACTCAAGCGGAATGATGTGAATTATGCACTGCAATGCAGAAAAGCATCCAAAAGTAACCTCCTACCACCATTTTGGTCCCTCAAAGCAGCATAAATCCTATGTCTGACTGCTGAGTTTTCCTGCAGGGATCTGAATGAACTTCACACAATGTTTTAAAAATGTGTCAATAAGCACAGACTTGTCTATTTTTCAATGAAATTTTGTAACATGCCTTCACTAACATCAAAATGGCAAGTATTTAATCTTGTAAAAACGTTTGTGTTTTTTTTCCCAAAACGAAACTCTTCCCATTTGTTGAAATATTCCCCATAGATTGGGTTGAATTTGTACTATATTTTTTTATTTTTTATTTGAGTAGAGTTGACACACAATGTTTTATTAATTTCAGGTACAACCTAGTGATTCAACATCTCCATATGTTATTCTGCCCACAAATGCAGGTGTCACCATACAATTCTATTATAATACCATTGACTATATTCCTTATGCTGTACCTTTTATTCCTAGAATGTATTCATTCTATAACTGGCAACCTGTAATACCCACTCCCCTTCACCCATTTTGCCCATTCACTCATCCCACTTCCCTCTGCCAAACATCACCTTGTTCTACGTATTTATAGGTACGACTCTGTTTTTGATACCTTTATTCATTTGTTACTTAGATTACACTTCTGAGTGAAATAATATATTTGTCTTTCTTGGTCCGACTTATCTCATCTAGTATAATACCTTCTAGGTCCATCCATGTTGTTGTAAATGACAGGATCTCATTCTTTTACATGACTGTGTAATAGTCCATTTCGTGTGTGTGTGTGTGTGTGTGTGTGTGTGTGCGCGCGCACACACACACGTGCACGTGTGTCACATCTTTATCTATTCACCTATCTATCAATAAATATGTGGGTTGCTTCCATATTTTGGGTCTTATAAATAATGCCATAATAAAGATGTGGGTGCATGTAACTTTTCAAATTAGTATTTCCTTTGGGTAAATACCCAATGGTATGATTGTTGGATCATAGGGTATTTCTATTTTTAATTTTTTAAGGAACTTCCATACTGTTTTTCAGAGTGGCTGTAGTGCATTTGTATTGTCTTATTCCTTGAGTTTTAAAAGGTACTTAAGATAAGAGAAAGAGAACTAAACTACTTAATGAAAAGCTGACACATCAAAATAAGCTAAC